TTGCCAGGCAGTCGCCAGTGTACCCTCCGTGCTCTTAGCCGCCCCTCTTGCTCTGCTAGTCGGTCATCCATCCATTGTGCACTTAATGCAATTGTCGCATTATTTCAGGCCCCGGCCACTTGGCCACCCCTCATACTCCGGCCAGATCCGAGAGAACGATATATATTTTTAAATACCTAGTTCGCGTTTTTGTGTGTGTCTATTTTATAGCGTTTTTGGGTTTTTATTATGCCGCATGGCGTCTGCTTCACTCGTTGCCCGCTGCCTGCTGCATGCTACATGCTACTATATGGTGTCTGTCTGCATCTGTCGCGTCTGCCACGGCGTCTGCAACTCCGAGACAGCTAGAGATATTCCTCGTTTGGTTGTTGCTATTGTTGTTATTGTGGTTGTTGTGGCTCGTGGCTGCTTATTAAGCCATTTGAAAAGGCGCTGCTGCATTTTGCGCTACGCTTTTTTTATATTTATTTTTGTATTTTCTGTGTAGCAGATCAAGTGATGCAAAAAAAAAAAAAAAAAGAAAGATGAAAACAGTTCACATAAAAAATTAAATATAATTTTGTTCTTGGACTTTGGCACATGTGCGCAGAGTTTGCCACTTTCCCAGGGGGCTTTTTAAGCTGCACGTTTTTTTCTCGATTTAATACTTAAGTATCTCTACTAATAGCATTGATAGACTGCTAAAAACTGATTTATTTTGCAGTTGAGAGTTCAGCTAAAATAATTGCAAATTATTTTGGAAATCTTCAACTTAAGATTTCTGTAAACTTTAACCACAAATAACTTAACCATCTAAGTATTCATTATGTTGTTAACTTTCATTCCAATTTGCAATTGCTTTAACTGCATGACATAAATCTAAATAATACAAATAACTGTAGCCAAAAGAGGTGCCCATAACCTTGTCATATTGCTCATACGCCTAGTGAGAAATATCGATTTTTGCTGCCAGCCTTAAAAACAGTAGAGTACAACGCACTTTGTGTTTTGGCTGCTGCCAACAGCAAAAGAAAAAAACCAGAAGTCAGTCAGTGAAAAAAAACTTTGGGCCACTGGCACAATAATTTGGCACGCAAACCTTTTTTTCTTGGACGCCACGGCAATCCATTTCCAAGTTGCAAGGGTTGCGAGCGGGTTAGGGGTTGAAGTTAGGGGACTGTGCATTTTTTTTTTTGCGTTGGCTCCCGTGGGGCGCGCAAACATAAAAAATGAAGTGAAATACATTTTGAAGCTAGTGGCGAGCATTAAAAATTTGCTAAACCCAACGACGAGCCAGGGACTGGGACACAATGGCGTCAGGACTCGAGACTTGAGCTTAGAGTTTTGGATTGGGGCGCTGGTGGTTAAGGGTTGGGGCAGGTCACGCGGCGTGCTCATAGTTCAGTGTTCGCCATGTTTGCTGTGCGGATAAACATATAACAATTAGAGTGCTCTTTGTTAGTTTCTGCTCTATGTGTTACGACTGATATAGTCGAGACCTGCATCCCTGGGAACTTGTGGTTGAGGGCTGAGGGACTTGAGTGTCTTGTGTTACGCTGCCACACACATGTATGTATGCCAGTTAAATATTTAGTTAGATTTGGGTTTTAATTTATTTCGAAAGGGTTTTATAGCGCAGACTGCTATGCAAATGAGACCTAGAAAAAAAATGAACAAAAATGGGTCAAAGTTTAATGTGGGGGCGTGTCTGACCGGCTGGGTTTCGAAAGAGTCTCTACTTGCAATATTTATGACCACCCCAGCGGATTTTTGGGAAATTGAAGTTTTCCACTGCTAACGTGTCCGGCATGCAAATATGGAGCAAGGCAGTGAGTTATATAGAACGAGCAGTTGAAAATAGTTAAAGAGGAAACGATAAAGCAGTGGCAAAGACATGTGCAACAGTTAGTTGCGGGTACTAAATCACCAAAATACTTTTAGGTTAAGCAATGAGTTACTTTAACGTTCTAAAAATCGAGTAAACTGTTAAGGTGGAATACACAAATTCATACAGATAGCAGAAAGTCAAAATTTAATTAATATTTTATATATTATATAGAGCTCTTGAGCAATTTCCAATTGCGACATAGAATCTAAAACTTTTCAAAATCAAAGGGTTGAACATATACAAAGACCTCCCGCCTAAACGCATTCAATGTTTGGCAATGTCACCAAATATTTTGTAAGAATTTTTCCCAGACAAGAACATAAATTAATTTTACAAATGAACAAACGAAATAAAGCGGCACAGAAATCCCAAGAATTTAACCTGGACACATAAATTTCTCGACGAGAAGTGTAACAAATGCTCATTAATATGCCAGACACACATTCAGAAGCGGATTGGGGGTGGAATGGGTGGTCTGGGAATTACCAACAAAATCCATAAGAATGCCGTGAAATAACAAAAGAAAATAAATACAAAAAAAAAAAAAACGACTCACTTCTAAAAATAAAATTTATTAATTGGCAGCTAAATAAGTCGCAAGAATTTACACGTTAATAATTTTATTAGCAAGCTGCTGCAGTGGGCCAACTTGGCAGGTGGGTGGTGTCTGGGGGCGTGGCAGCGACAGCTGTTCTTGTATATGTCGACGGCAGAAACAAAAACAAAACGAAGACATTTTCAAATTCCACTTTGTCATAAAATGTGGAAATAATGAAAAATGTGAAATGTGTTGCCAAAAGGGCGACAGCAGCTTTGGCTAATGCTCTCCATAGGTTGAAAAGGGTGGATGCTGTGGCCAACTGGAATGGGTATTCACTTTTTTGCCTGAAAATTTAAATAAATTGTTTAAAATGCACATGAAACATGCACAAAACTATTTTTAGACAGTCACTGACAGATGTTGCCATTCGAATCGATAAATTATAATCACTTTGAAGAGCAGACAATAAATATTTGGAGGGGGCCATTGGAGGGCTCTCAGCAAAATGATGCCGAAAATTAAAGCAATGCGCGATAGTGTTTTTTGTTCATTTTTTTTCCTTATTCATCTGCCGTTTATTTCCAGCTGTTGAACACAATTTAAGTTAAGTGTTTTACTTTTAAGGCGAATGCCATACGCGAACAGACACCAGGGCCACGCCCCCCAGCCCCGAAACGCCCACACATTGACAGGGCAGCAAAGTCAAAGCCAAAATGAGAGAGAGAAAGAATGAGAGAGAGAGAGAGAGAGAGAGAGAGAGGAGAAAAAAGAGATGGAAGAAAAGCGCAAAATTCATTGCCTTTTAATTGCAGTTGGCAGTTGATACGAAGAATTTTCGACTGAATGTGAAATACTTAGTATATATATATATGTGTGCGTGTGTTTGTATTGTGTGTGTGGGGGGATGACTGTGGATCTGGAGTTTTCCCCATAAATAAATTCAACTGTTAATTGAATGCAGGCACTTGAAAAATGGGCAGACTATTGGAGCTGACTCTCCAATGGCAACCTGTTGAGTCGTCCACTGAGTGATTTATGGATCTTTTACCCAGACAATTGACTGTGGACACTGTGCAGTCGAGAACCATTTTTGGCAATTCTTCGGAGCGACAATTCCGATGTAGTAATAAAGTGGCAACATAAGTATAATAGCAGACATAAGTTAATTGGAGCTGGAACAGATTAAGCATTTATTCTTCAACATAATTGGAACTTTCTTGGAATTGAGCTGAACACCAGCGAGTTAAATCGAATTATATATTAATTTACTGATATTCTTTCTGCTTAAGCTTGAACCAAAGTTATCAATTTACACTGTACAAACTCAAATAATAAAGCAGCAGGCTGCTGTCCCTGGTAACACACTTTCCACATCAGATTCCGAGCCATAAATACCCAAGGACAAGCAAATCAATAAATTACTCGCCCATCGACGCAAAGAAGATGCCAGGCATACGAGTTTATATACAAAAAATAAATAAGAAATAAATACCTTTATAAAAATAACTCACACAAAATCAATGAACATCAATGAAGTGCCTGTAAAGTGTCCCCAGCTTGGATAAAATCACTGGATGCCTACATTTTTGGCAGCTTTTTATTTTTAAAATGCCTGACAACGATGCCAAAGGAGAGACCTTCTGATAGGGAGCCTGCACATACGGGCACACCCACAGCCACACCCACACACACACACACACATACACTTACACATAACGTCATGGGGGGATCGTACTTCATGAATTCCCTCTCTTGGTAATTGAATTATGCTTTAAGCATAACATTTATTTATTCATGATTTGAGCCAAGTTTACGCAATGAGAAGCCAAAGCACGTAAATGCAATTTAAATATATTTAGTCGCAAATCTGATCCAGAGTTGCCAAGCAGCACAAAATTACTGAAATTTAATTTTTTTTTTTTGTGTACAAACACAACAAGAATGCTGTAAATAAGAAATACACAAGAAAACATGAAAACAGTAGACCAACTTCTGTAAATCCTGTCAATGAAAGAAGTGTTATCAGCTTTTTTGGTACCCGTCAGATGTAAAGATGCGAAAGGACAAGAGTACCACTTTTGGGAGAATAAACGCAGCTCAGCTTCTTGCTCTTGGCCAATTTAGAGGATTGAGTTTTAAATGAGGGCACTGATTCAGAAAGTCGTAGAGCTTAACTTGTTGCTAATATTGCATTCAGAGCATTCGTTGACAACCTTTTAATTAGATTAAAGTACGTTCAACACAAATGAGAAAAACGACTATGGCGAGTTTCCACATTTTCCCAGTATTCTTTTCTTTCGTACTTTCATTCTTTCTGTACCTGAGAGAGCTCTTTGCATTTTGCGGAAATGAGAGAACTTTTTGCAAATGTATTTCGAATGGTCTTTGGTTCGTTGAGCGCATTTCCGTATTGCATTAAAATTCTATCAGTTTTCGGGGACAGGAAATTTGATGTAAAATGGTTTAAATTTTGCCAAGCTGATGCTATTACTCATCAAGTTACAAATTGGTTTTATGTGTGATTTCCGTATTCTAATTGCGTTATCTAGTTTTGTGGCTTATACAACAAATGGAACACAATATTTTACTCACCTTTTTGCTTAGCTTGTTGACTTGGCTGCTCTTGATTTGCGTTGGAAATAGCTCTGCAAAAAATCAAAAAAAAAAAACAGAGAAAACATTTTTTAAAACTAGGTTAGCAGTGCTAATCGAATTTAGATGTAAATGTAGATATCAATTATTCGTTTGTGTTAAATAATTTAGTTATGCAAGAAGCTAATATAGTTAAGCTCATGTGGCGTAACTAATGTTGACCTAATACATACAAACATTACATAAACTGTTTATGCGACTACAATTGCCAGCTAAACAAGACTGCCATGCATATATGGCATATATGTAGTTTATATTTGTGTGCTCAGATTTCCGATATACGAGCTCAGTTGTTGCATAAAATAGTTAAGCGACTCAGGTTGATAACTTTGTCAGCAGCTACTTACTTTCAGTTTGGCCTGTCAGCAAAGTTTTCAGCGCTGTCAACTCTGGCAACAACTCAACTAGTCGGCAGCTAACATGTTGCATGTGCAACGTGCAAAACGATGGCTGATAACCAACGACAAGACGCGACGCAACACGCATATGGACACAGGGTTGCACAATGTGTGTATATGATTGATCAGCTTTCGCATAAAGTATGTTCATAATTTTTCATACTTTGCGCTTATTTAATTAATTATTCGTAAGTTGATAATTATTATCTACTTATATTAAATTTATTTTATTTGTGGCAATTAAATGTTTTTATGATGAACACTTGTTTAACACAGAACCATCAATAGAAGTTATTGTGTATTACAGATCTAGTTCAGAGCTCAACAAGTTTAGTGTATCCCTCGCTGTGGCTTCCCCATCAGTTTAATCTTATGCCTCCTTCAAGTTTTTCTTTGCAAACTTTTCTATAAAAACTAAATTTGCAATTTCGATTCAAATGAGCTCATCCAAGTGCCGCTGCCACAAAGTTGCGGGGCATATATAGACACACACACACACTCACACACTCACTAATCGGCGAATCAAATGTCAAGTAGTGGCTGTCGGTAGTTTCTTCTAAGCAGAACATGACGCACATCAACCTCAATGCAACTTGGAATCCATCTGCAGTTCAAGCGTCTGGCTCCCGTTGACTCTAGTGTCAGCACTTAACTAGTTGGTGGCAGTTTGGTTTCCGTTTTAATTTGTTCGCGTGTGTCCGAGGTCAAAAAGCGGTTATACGCAATAAATATATATAAATTACTCATACGCCGTGTTGCGATTAAAATCTCCCGCCTTTTTGGTATGCAGAGTCAAGTAAGTACATGCATCATTAAGGCAATAGTATCAACGAGTAGGCCACAAAATCACAGCTCAGCTCTGCTTAATGCGAAAGTATTCGACTGCACAGCCATGGACTTGAGTGGGGCAACGTTGCGTATGCTTGATCTTGTTACACGCAGATAAATGTCAATTTATTTGCCACACTCCAGAACACTAAGCCGATGGTGGTGGCCTTCAGCAAGAGAGAGAGAGAGAGAGCTAAACACACCCTGCCGCCCCCTCCTGTGTCTCTCCTCTGGCGAACCGCTGGCGTGGGTGTCTTTCTGTCTATGTGGGCGTTCGACGCATGACGAGATGTAATCGATAAGCAGCGAGGCTTGACGCAGCTTGACTGACTGGTTGGCTGACTTACTGACTCGACTGACTCGACTGACTGAGCTGTCTGCCTGGCAATCTCATTTAAAACCGTCGATTCTCCTGCACGCTGTTTCCCTCCCTTTCCCAGTGTCAGCAATCAAATTATGTTGAAATTTATGCGCCCCAGCAAGTTTTTAATGAGCATTATTCTAATTAATAATTGCCGCTTATTACAATTTCCGAAGTTAACATTCAATTTGAGAAGCGGAATATTCGCTTTCAGTTTCTGAATCAAGGTGTACTCCACGTACTAACTGAATATGATATTATTAAACACAAGTCTGGCCAATTGATAATGATAATGAATAAATAATGTTTTAATTTTCCGAAAATTGTAATTATAAGTGAATTTATATATGGAAAATTACAAATAAAAAAATAAATGTTTTCACATTTTAAATATTTCGCTTAGCAAATCTTTGAAATGAGGTTTACCGCACATGCCAATGAGCGCTATAAAAACGCATTGAAAACCTCTAAAAAGCTACCAGCGACGATAAACAGAACAAGAGATTTATATTTTTCCAATCGCTTAGCCCTCAATCCCCAACCCCTAATTGTCTGGGCATTGTCTGGCATTTCTAAAACGCTGCTCAGGTGCATTTTACACGCTTTTACTTATTTTATGGATTCATGAAAGCATTTAAAATCCAAGTAAGTCCAAATGCTACATCATTTTCAGCTGGCCGCAAATGAAAAAATCCAGCAAAAAAAAAAAGGGGCCATGAAAATTGAAAATGAAAGTTAAAATGCAAACATAAAAAGGAACAAGGGATGAAAGGCGAAAAACGAAAGCTTTGGCGAATATTACTTATTTTTATGTGGCCTTTTTTTTTTTTTTTTTTTGGTTTTGGAGGGTTTGGATGGTATGAAAGAGTACCGCAGACGACGTCGTTTTGGTGCTGGTCACAGCTGGATTCTGTATCCTTGATCCTGGAGCCGCCGGCTGTAGCCGGCACAGTCAGTCAATAACATCAATAGACGGCAAATAAAAATCAGCTTTATGGGCGTGGGACATTGGGAGGTGGCTTTTTCGATTTGCGCTTTGTTTGTTGCTGCTGCATATTGTTGCCATTCTCTAGCCAGTGTCTGTGGTGGACAAAAGGGCTGAGACCACTGAGACCAGATAAAATGAAAGCCAAAAGCAGCCACGCAGCAAAAATGCTGAGACGGAGGGCAAAAACTGGCGAAAGGTGGTCAAATGAGAAGCGTAACCCAGCCAACTATTAATATTGAAACAGTGATTGCTGGCTAAATCCTTTCACGCTTTTGTTTTACTTTCTATTCGCAATGCCAGTCACAGTCACAGTTACACTTTCAGCGGAAGCGGAAATCGCTGCCCCTAACGAGCAGCCCCAGTCAATGTCCAATCCAAAGTCACTGTCAGAGTCAGAGTCAGAATCAAAATCAGCAGACAGTTTTTGATTGTCTCTCATCTGTGTTTTCTACAGTTCTCAGTTCTCAGTTTCTGTTTCGGTTTCTATTTGTTTTTGCTTATTTTACTTTTTTTTTTGAATTTTGCGGCATTGCCAATTATTTTAGACAAGTAATTGCCAGAAAAGCGCCACAGACTTTTGAAGAACTGACAAAGTGTTTGGGGATCGAGTCCCCCAGCCAGTTAACCCGGCTCGAAGAACTTTCATCTCGGCAATTGCCAACTAATTTAACAGTCATAGCTCGACAGCATAGTAAAATATTGCATTCAGGCCCCGTGGGTAATTTGAGATCCTCACCATTGGGCGCCAAAGTATTTGCTTACTCTCGGGGCTCCAAGTGGTTGACATGCGGAAGCCGCTTAAGCGCACTCCGCAACAATATCAACTGGATATTGGGTTTCATTCTTATAGAGAGAAAGGGGACAGACACTCAACAACAAACACGACTAAAGTTCAACTTGAGGACCGGCTTATTGTCATGCGAGACACTTGAGAAAATCGTAATGCGGGGGCGAAACTTTAGAACTTGGTGGCAAATACTTATGGTGTGGAAGGGAATCAGCTTCCTATTCGAAGTATGCGCGGCTCATTTGCTGTGATTTACTTAAATGAAGCACAGGCTAAGAGGCTTTTAAGTGGCCTCTATTAGTGGGTGCTGACAGCGTTAAGAGTTAAATGCTAATTGCTTTACAACAAGCAAAAATATTGCAGCAAACTCGACAACGGCAACGAGATTGAGGGCGGAAAAGAAAAAAAAATCTAGATTGCATGGTTCTTATTTCAGACTGAAATTATATTCTTGCCAATTTATTATGAGTTCTTAACCATTGTTTCCATGCTCTCAATATTTGCTTAATTAATATCAACTTGTGCTTCTGTTATATACAATTTTTAGTGTAATTAGTCTCATTTCCTTAAGCTAACATCTTATTTCCATAGTTGTGTTTCAACATCTGATTTTTAATGAGTGGCAACTGTCTTTTAATTAGCTTACCAAATGAAAATCATTAGTTGGTATTTTAGTAGCGTCCTCTTTCAAAAAAACGTCCAATCAGTGGCCCACACATTTCTCTTGCCCCCTCGCCGGAGTCTTATTAGTTAGCCAATCGCCGACGGACTAATGAAACTATTTATAGCCGTGACAAACTACAAAATGGTAAATGGTAAAAGAGAGAAAAAAAATAGTAGCAGCAAACAAGTTAACAGTTCAGAGACTTTAGTTTTTGTTGCTTTGTAGCAGTTTTAATTTGGAGATGCGTCCACGATGGACGTTGAGTTTTAACAGCTCATTAACATTCGCTACACGGCAGGAGACATGACAGCCAAAGGGGAGGAGGGGGCTGGTGACGGCGACATCTTGGACGTGGAACGGTCGAGCAGCACATCTTACAGAAGCTGCTTAAGTGCCACTCCAAGAGAATGTGCCCAAATGCATATATAAATATGTATATGTATATGTACACGTATATATAGCACACTTAAAAGCCCCAAAGTATCTGGATGGCTTGCTGTCTGTCTGTCTTTCTGTCTGTCTGTCTGTCTGTCTGTCTGTCTGTCTGTCTGTCAGCCAGGCTGTCAGACAGCGAGGCACTTGCATTCAATCAGCGTGGCGACCACGTCAAAATAATGTGGAAACTGGAGGGGGAACAGATTTGGGTGGTGGGAGGTGCTTGTGGGCGAGTGGCTTATCACATAACTCAAATCGACAGGGCAACAGAAACGTAATGAAGTGTCTCAAAGTAGCTGTTAATATGTATTCTAAAATAGCGAGAGATAGACAGAGAGAGAGAGAGAGAGAGACAGAGAGAGAGAGAGAGAGAGAACGAGGCTCAGAGAGTGTTAGGAGGCAACTTTAGGTGCAATTGATGATTTTTTTTTGCCTCTTTTTTATGGGCAGCATTAAAGTTTATATGCCTTTAAAGCAAAAGCAGAGGAAAATCGTTAAAGTCGACAACAAAATGCCAAAAGCTTGTTAGCGG